AGAAGAGGGTGACAGCAAAAATAAGATATGTCTGGTTCAGTGGGGGTAAAATTCGTTGCAGACAATCAGATGGAGGTTCAGTAGTAATTATAGAAAAATCAAGTGATCTGGACCTTTTCAGCTGAACTTTGTATATAAGTTACCTTCAGCTTGCAATTAATTTACTTTCTCTCACTAGAAATATATTTATTATGTTTTTTTTTAATTTTTGTATCAATTTTTACTCATCAGAAATATTATTATTTTAATTTTAAGCTTCTTTTATTTTTGTATAAATTATTTAGAACTCTATTCGATTCCTTGCCAATTTTTATCAATTTATCTAGACCAAGGAGAAATTTATATTTTCTTATGTTATAAATTAATTTTAACTGAATATTTATTTCGAAACACCGAAAATTAATTTTTTTCATCTCAAAGTTTATTTTATGTAAGCATTGTTTTTTTATACTTATAAACTTGACATTATGCTTAAAAAATGCTGTACCTATCCTCCATCCTTGATCATTTTTTTTTTTTTTTTCTAAAATCCTACTTCCCAACCCTCCTGTCATGACTAATATCCTGAATTCCTGTCACATCAATGCACAATCCCTTACTGCACACTAGAATGAATTTCAGGGACATTTCCTTGATAATTTTTACCACATAATAGCAATATCCGAAACCTAGTTAAAACCTTTTATCCCTTACTCCCAGATTTCCCTACCCAATTATTTCTTCCTACTATTGTAATAGTATATAGAAAAGTAAAATTGAAAATAGTTACTACTGTAAATATGTATATAAATTATTAGAGCATTCTTCATTATTTTTATGTCATGTTTATTTTCAATTTTTTGTTTTTTATTTTTAACTGATTTAAATTAGTAAGTAACTTATAATTTTTTCTACTATTTTTTTTTTTTTTTGACTATTTAATTACTGTATATTTTTGTTTATGTATCTCTAAGGCTCCTTAGACCATATTATTGTCTTTTTATATTATTCTAAAGGGACTCGTCCCAGAATAAATAAAGCATTATTATTATTATTATTATCTCTTTATTTTCCACATATACAATGGTGTTTATAATATGTAATAGTTGGGGACCTATTAGGTCAGCCAAAAATTACATTTGTATATTTTCATAATTATTTAATATTTGTGAACTTCCTGACTATACTTGCTGTTCCCAACAACACCGCTTGTTGCATTCTTTCGATCGTCTGAGATGGTAGTTCTAGTTGTCGCAGAGAAGATACAGTTTCTTCCGGTATCAGTCCGTTGCACTGATTACAATTGGCAGAATTCGGATTTCCTTTAAATGATACAATTGTTTGATCTCTTCAGCGTTCAATTCAATCAATTCTACGTTCTTTCTCTTTTTTTCTGCTACTACCTTGTGTAGGTTATCATCAGAAGGAACTCCAATCTCTATGATGAACGCAGATTGCTTACCTTTATCTATTATAAGAATGTCTGGTCTATTGTGGGGGATGGTGTGATCCATCAGGATCGGTTGATCCCAGAACACCTTGACATTGCGCATGAAGTTAATTGGTTCTGGATGATATTTATAATATGGACAATACTTATCGACGAGTTCCATTTTCTGAGCCATAGCTTGATGCACTACCTTAGCTGCATTGTCGTGTCTCTGCAAGTATTCCTTAACCGCAAGTATTGTGCATCCCGATGTTACATGTTGAATTGATTCAACTGTCTTTTTGCATAAGCGACATAAGTCATCGATGCCCTCTCTACATATATGTTTTCTGTATGCTTTTGTGGCTATTACCTGTTCTTGAATAGCAAACAAGAATCATTCTGTTTCCGGAAAGATACTTCCACTCTTCAGCCATGTCAATGACGCCTCAGTGTCCACTCCTACATCCATTAATGAGTGATAAAATCGTCCATGTAAAGGTTTATTTTTCCATATTTCTGATCGAGTGCCATCATCAGCTTCACTAATCGGGATTCCAGGGCTTCGTAAATTCAAAGCTGTATAATTTATATCTAATGATGCGATAGTTGAAAGGATATTGGAAGTATGGTTTATAATGTAGTTGTGAAGATTATTTTCTTCCTTTCAGCATAAATTCAAGAGGCTGATTAGACCACGCCCTCCCATCTTCCTAGGAAGATACAATCTCACTACAGATGACTTTGGATGCCTCTTCCTTGAAAGCACCATCTGTACTCTAAGAAAACGATCCAACCTTTCTAAATCGGTTTTAGTCCACTTCAGTACCCCAAATGAGTAGGCTAAAGCAGGTATTGCCCAGGTATTCAATGCCCGTATCAAATTTCTTCCACTTAAATGTGATTTAAGTACTAATTTAACACGGTATTTAAATTCTTTCTCAAAGTTTTTTTTTGAATTAGCATTGAATTTCAGAAGTTGGTGTACTCCAAGGTACTTGTAAGAATCAGATTCTCTCAATTGATTCATTATTACATTTTCTGATATCTCAATATTACTCCCCTTAATAACTCTTCCTCTTTTCATGTGTACTATTGCACATTTATCTATTCCTAGATCCATTTTTATATCATTACTGAACGTTCTTACTGTCTTCAGAAGAGCTCCCATTTCGTCTTCATTCCTAGCGTAAAGCTTGAGGTCATCCATATAGAATGAATGAGAAAGCTTCATTTCAGAGTTAAGTAGGTACCCTTTTTCTGTATCAACCAATAATTTGCTAAGTGGATTAAGCGCCAAACAAAACCCTAGAGGACCAAGGGAGTCCCCTTGAAAAATACCTCTCTTTATAGATATGTATTCATTGGAACTCAGTCTGTTCAAAGTTGGTGTGCTGATTGAGACCCTCCAAATTTTCATCAGTGGTTCTAATAGATCTATTAGTGCCTGGTTTACTTTATAGATTTTCAACACTTCCAGAAGCCAATCATGGGGAACCGAATCGAAGGCTTTACGGTAGTCGATCCAAGACAATGTAATATTACGAGATTTTTTTGTAACTTGAGCAGCAATAAAAGAATAGATAATCAGAAGTTTTCTGCAACCTTTTGAACCTGCCTTAATACCTAACTGTTCTGCTGCCATAATACCCTTTTCCTCAATGTAATCTGTCAACTTATTCCTGATTACAGCCGTTAGTAATTTGTACACACCATTAAGACAAGTTATTGGTCTCAAATCCTGTGGCTCCAGCGTGTTTTTGCTTCCTTTCTTTATTCGGTAAGTCATACCGGTACAGAACTTTGCTGGTAAGTCAATCTCTTCAGACAATAGTTTCTGATTCCACACAGCTAGGTGGCTATGAACACTGTTAAGGACTTTAGCCAGTAATTTTGTATTTTATCTGGCCCAGAAGCTTTCCAGTTTTTCATTTGCTTGAGTGCCTTAGTCACATCTTCCACAGTGATACTGGTTGCTTCCATAGGTTGGAGATCTGATAAGCCATGGCGAATATTTTCCAACCAATTTGCTTCATTGTTAAAACATTTTTTAGTTTCCCAAATACCTTTCCAATACTCTGATATTTCAATAGTTTCTGGATAGACATCGTTATTATCTTCCTTTTTAGGTTTTAAAGATTTATAAAAATATTGTTCTCTTTTATTAAATATTGAATTTTGTCTCCTTCGATCATGAGCTTCTGTATACTTCCTAATTTTATTTGCTAATTTCTGCTTGAGTATTTCCATATAAACACCAAGTTTTTTATTTAACTCACTTCTTACTACTTCTCCAATATTAAATACAATAATTTCATCAATTTTTTTCTTTAGTTTTAAAGAAGCATTTTCTGGGTTCTGAAGGTAATTAGCAATAATTCCGATTTTACACCGTATATTTTCGATCTTTTTTTTAAATTCTTCTCTTCCAGGGAGGATCTTTGCATTCATTAGTTTTATTACAATTCACCTTATCTTTTATCAAACCTAGCTCCATCGAGACAGTTCGAGCCCCTATGTATATCCAATGACATATCTCTTCTAGAGTTATACCCATCGACAAATGCTCAGCAAGTATCTCGTTGATGGTGTTGACAGCGGATAAAGTTCTTTTGGAATATGGTACCTTTGGTATAGAGGGTCTACTGTCCAAAGGTATTCCTTCATACATTATGTGTTCTCTTAATAGTATATTACGCATCTCTATGATGTGTGACGCTTCTTAGGTATTCATAGAAGTCGTTTCCAATTGCATAATCGCCGAGGATTCTGCCTCTTCTACTTGTTGTATTTCTATCTGTGAGTTTCGGGCTAGTATATTACCTGCTTCTGTTCTGATTGCATTAATTTCCGATTCGGATAAAAACTGGCATTCTAATATTTGCTTGACCTGGTCAGCGAGTATTAGAACTCCATATTCTCAATCTTCTTCCTCAACCATTCTCTCTTATTTCTTCCTGTTTTAGTCACATTTTCTCTGTATCCTCTGGTATCTCTTTGCAATATTACTTGCTTATAATTCTTTAATAAAACATTAACCTCAATATTAAAACATTAGGCATTAGCCACATTCCTCATCAAACCATTCACCATTTCTTTAGGCAACCTTTTCTCCTAATACGTGATCAGTCATCTCTTTGATAATTGCCTTTAAACTATTCCATCCATCTGTAGTATCAACTCAGATTTCTACTTTGTTTCCTGAAGTGATTCCTTATGTTCTTGACTATTAAATTTTTCTACATAATCTTTAGTTAAAAAAAAAAGAGGTATAAATTTATTTAGAAAAAAAACTAAATTATTTAATTACTAGGGGGGTACCCCTATCCGCTTAACGGTGAACCAGCCTCTATTTTACAAATTATACTATTGTAATTGTCTACTTGTTTTTCAAATTGTATAACTGTAATTTACATGTATTTCAGATTGTATTAGTTTTTTTTTTAATGTAAAATTAAATATTACATGTTCACTAAAAACTTTTTATACAATAGAGAGATATATTATAGTTCTTAATTTTTCAGTATTTTCAGAAGTAGTAGCAGTTGCTTATATTTATTTTATAAATTATTTAAATAATTATTTATTGCAGCCATATTACAAGAGCAGCACAGTATGAACATCCTTGTTCACAGTATATCTATCAACCAGAAGTAAGACTGAGAATGGAACTAGGACCTTCACATCCAGATCCTCCTCGACACACTAATTTTCATCCACATAGTGCTCTTGTTCCGGCGAATCCTTATCTCAATCAAGGTATTCTTTATAAGTGTTATTCTTGGTTTGACTTAATAAATTATATTTTTGGAATTGAAAAAAAAATTACTGAAGTCATTATTAAAATTGCTGATTATAAAAAAATATTATTGGTTACAATGCTATTTCTTTTCAGAAATTCCTCATTGGTTAGCTGTTTATTCACGTGCTTCTCAAGAGTTGGATTATAAGCTGCGTTGGGAACTTTTCCGTTTACCTGAACTGGACTGTTTTAATGCAATGCTTACACGATTGTATAAACATCAACTTGAAGAAATAGTAATGCGTTACGAAGCTTATAGGTATTTTAGTGATCCACATTACCCATTGATAGATATTATTTTTTGTTGTGAATTCTAATCTGATCTATACTTCTGATCAACATTGGGCCCACTGTTTCATTATAACACCACAAATTTCATTTTATTAGTAATGGAGGTTATTTTCTTTTAAGTTATAATATTTAATTAGAAATAAAACATTATAAGCAGAAATCCAGCACCATAAACAGAAAAACTGAATTTTATTACTTTTTTAAATCCTTGAAAGGTAGAAAATGAACACATTTTAAATTTTAAAAATTAAAGTTTAAACTTAAAACACTTTGTAAATAAATTGGTTATTTCCAAAGAAGTGTCATGAAACTGACTTCTGAAGATCAACCAGAAGAGAACTGTCAAGAATTTTACAAATTCCATTTAAGTTGATAGAGACATACCATAATAATAATAATTACCTGCTGTAAACAATATTTGGATACTTCTGTTTCATGAAATTAAATAAAAAATATAGTTTTATTAAATACAATTTTAGCTTCAAAATTAAGGTAGTGCTATAATTTTTATCAGGTATATTTACTTTACAACATACTAAAAGTTTAAATTCACGTTTTTTGCCTATGATGGTGTGTTTTAACTAAAGTCCGTGTTTCTTAGTTTATATGGATTTCTTATAGGAATAAAGAAGATATGTATGAATATAGGTTATTCATTGTACATTGTATATTTTTACTGCTCAAAATTTCATGTTTTATAGTAATTAAAAAACTTATTTAGAAGTTTGTAAAGTGTAAACATTAAAACGAAATGTTTTGTAGGAAAGTTTCATTAAGTAAAATCTAGCTGTTTAGAGCACTCTGAATAAGTTTCAATTTTCTGATAAATTCTCAACAAGTTTTCAAGTTATTTTCCCATTAAATTTGTGGATAGTGAAGTATGTCCATAATTCTGCTCTCTTCCTTTTATGTTTCTTAGTGGTACATTTAATTTAAGTTTATAGTTAATTGTGAACTCTTAAAAACAGATCCAAAAAAATAATCAGGTCAAAATAGCTTTCGCTCCCACTGACTACTGTTCCCAGTGAGCAGTTCTGTGTTAAGTGCTGCTAGAAAAATTTATGAAATTCATCAATAAATTAATATATGAAAATCTAGAGAAACTACTTTTCTGAGCTTTTTTTTAAATTTTTTAAAACTTCTTTTGTCATTAGAACACAAAATAAAAATAAATTAATGAAAGATTTTCTTATTTATAAATAAGTTTGGGTATCAGTTATAAATTAAATTTAAATTTCTATCTATTAATAATTAATTTTCTATTTTTTTTTAATTTCTATTATCATTTAAAACATTAAACTTACAAACATTAAATTTATTTTGTAATTTATTCAATGTTTTCAATGTTTCAAGTATTTTAAATATAAAACATACAAATATACAAACTTATACAGTTTTATAATGAATTCAATTTATTTCATATGTTCATATAAAATAAATTTCTTTGAATTTTTCACCCTATCCAATTTAATGATATTAAAAAAAGTAGTGATTTATGTTAGAAAAGAAAATATATCTTTTTTATTGCACATTTAATAATTTTGTTACTGCATGAAATCCTGACTCTATTCATAATATTTCCTATGAATTGATTTATTTCATTTATTATATCCATTACGTGTGATTTTTTATTTATTTATTTTTTAATTTATTAAAGTTTTATTTGTATGAAATTATTTTTATCGTATTAAATATGTCTATAAATTTTCTTCATGATTATAGGGCTGCACTTCTTTGCGAAATTGAGTACAGATTAAGAAATTTAGAGAGAGATTATAATGAGAGTTATAGAAATGAAACAGATTCGAAGGAATCAGGGCCAACACAACACTCAGAAACGAAAATATAATTGGTGAGAGTTTTTGTTGATTATTTTCTTCTAAAACCTTGATAGTACTTGATCTTCAAATACAGGAGATATGAATATTATGACCATAAGGAGTATATAAGCATATCTTTAAAGTAGTGGATAGATAGGCTAAGTTAAATTCTCAGTAATTTTTTTTTTTTAATTTTCCTGGTTTATGTCAGCAACATCTAAATGTTTTTTTGATATATTTGAAGCCATATTGTTTACCGAGTAATTAGGTAAATAAATGATTAATAATTGCTAAAAAAAATCAACAAAGTCACGTTTATTTATAGTTTTTTATGTGAATATGTCTAATTTTTTGTAGAGTGGATGGAGTAAAAATAACCATGAAAAAACCTAACACCTTTTTTAAAATAAAATCAAATATATTTTTGTATATTACTTATTTTCCAATGTTTCAAGCAGTACATGGTTAGTTTGATTATGTTTGTTTTTACTTGTCATAATTTTAGAGTGTTTCCTATTTCAGTTATTAAGTGATTTGAAGAGTGAGGGCATAATTAAAATATGGTATGAGTTAGATTTTATATTTATTCTTGTAGGTAGGTTATATTCAATACTGATTGTACTTAAGCTTAAGTTGTTTGGATGATATGAACAAACTCTTGGCATTTTTCATCTTAAAATTATTTAAAAGAAATGAATTTGTTAACATTTATTACACAATGATTCAGATACACAAATGGCATTGTCCTAATGAATGCTCTTCTAGATGACGGTAAATCTCCTGGATACGACCTCCTTACCTCTCAAATCCTTCGACAACTTCCTCCTAAAGCTGTTATATTTCTCACTTACTTATATAATACCATCCTTAGAACCACCCACTTTCCTCTTTTGTGGAAACATTCCACTATTATCCTGTTTCCGAAACCAGGCAAATCTCCCAACACCTCTACGTCCTACAGACCAATTAGCCTACTTCCAATCCTCTCCAAAATCTTTGAAAAGATCCTCCTGAAACGAATCCTACCTTTTATAGAATCCCAAAATCTTCCTTCCCATCAGTTCGGATTTCGTTCACAACACTCTACAGTCCAACAAGGACTCTGAGTGGTCGATCATATTTCCGCAGCATTGGAAAGCAAGCAATATTGCTTGACATAGCTCAAGCTTTTGACCGGGTATGGCACGCTGGGCTTCTTTCCAAGCTGAAAACCTATCTACCCCAGTCCTTGTACCTAATCCTCCGCTCCTACTTCTCTGATCGTAGTATTTATTTTGGAATTCTGGCAATGGCCAGATTCTCCACTCAAGACATGAGTGTAGGTGGCTAAAGCGCTCTCGCTCCAACTCCACCGGCTTTAGCACCAGTGAGGCGGTTGAGATAGTAGCGCAGGGATTTGGGTTCCCCGCCTGATTGTATATATTGTATGTAGGTATGACTGTATTTTTATGTTTTTAATTTACTTATTTTTAGGTTATTTTATTTTTTTATTGTATATAGTTTTTAGTTATTATTTTACTTTTGTTAATTTTTTTTTTTGTATATACGCTGTGAATGTGTTCATTTATTAAGGTAATTATTGTTCCTGTGACAGAATATTATATGTCTAAATAAATAAATAAAAAAATAAGATGACTTTTGTACGTGTCTGATCCTGCACCACAGTATCACTTGTACTATTTGAGTTAGTTCATTTGGTTCTTTTATATCACAGTGTTCTAGGAACTTTGATTTAGCAATTGACCAATAAACCAAAAAAACAAAAATATTATTTTATAAAACTATGTGTGATGGAGAAATTCCAAGTACATATTTGAAAATACGATAAATACACTGCATGTATACTAAGTAACCTACAGGTATTTGTGAGGCAAAAATAGTGCTTACCAGTGTAATTGAATAGATATGACAATGAACTAAAACTTAAAATAATGTTCATAAATGTTTTAATTTAAAAATTCCTCGAATCATTTTTTTATATGGAAGTAGTCATTCTGAAAATATTTTAGTAATTTATTACAGCTGTGGACACTTTATTAGAAATAAATTACAAATTTGCTAAGTATTTCTTAGAATCATCATTTCACAAAATATCAATGATATAAGTATATATATGTATATAAACTATTTATTTATATATTTATTTATTGAGAATGTATGTTTTCAGCATGATGTGCAGATAACAGTATCTTTGTTGGTGAAGTAAAATAATGGTTTATGTTTAAGACCCTCTCTACACTTGTATTCATTTGTGAATAGTAACATCGAGTGAGGACTTAGTAGTAATAATCATATTGTGATACGATCGAAATATTACCATATACTGAAAAAATGAATTATGGTAGTAACAGTCTTAACACTGGTATTTTTATTGTGATAACATTATATTAATTGTGATATTTTAAATGTTAGATGTATTTGCTATTCTAGAATAATTTCTTAATAAATATTTTATTTTTCTCCCAGTAAATCTTTACATTCCATAATGAAACTGGAGCTTTGATAATTTCTATAAGATAATATAATTTTAATGTGTTTGTGTGTACAATATAATATAATACAATATTGGGTCTGAAATAAACTTTATAATCAATGAATTCTAATTAACATTATTCAGATTTTTTTTATGAATAATTATTAATATTGTTTCATTATTACTGAAGATTCTTGCATCTTTAATTTTAAGACATGTCATATTATTCTTTAGAATAAATATTTATGATTTTATAAAAAAAAATTGTATAAGTAGAAATTCATGCAATATCCATGAGGACTAATTAGTCTTTTGAATACCTTTAGTTTAGTGCATCACTATCAATGAATGAAATTGATACTTTTGTATTAATTTTATTTTATTTATTTATTTTTTGAATTATATGTGTATACATGATTAGAATGTTTATTATAAATTTAAAGAAAGAGGCAAATGATTTTAATTCATTAGAATTTGAAGGAAAATAATACCTAAGTAAGTCATAACAGCTACCTTTCTACATCTATGATTCAAAAAATATTTTATGTCCCTTGAAAAATGTAGCAGAGGTGCTAGAAAAAAAAATTATAGTTGTATTGGCTAATCAGATTGTTCAGAAATCTGAATTTCCTAAAAATATTATTTTTGTATACCATCCAGATTGAGTAGTAAGCTACCCGAACTATACATTATTAGCTATTATAGGAAAGTTCTTGCTAGCTACAAGCCAGTGGGAACTTTTTAATCGCTTAAAATAACCAAGGTCTGTGGTATTTTGATGAACCTCTTCCAAATAAAAATAATGATGCCTTCAAATGGTTGAAAGAGCATGCATAATATTTTTCTTATCTTTTAAAGATATTTTGTCAACAATTTTATACAATGATCACCTCAGTGCCTTGTGAAAGGTGTGTGTGCCTTGTGTTACCCAAACAAGGAATATTTTAAATGAAAGAATAACACAATTGTTTGTTGAAAATGTATTTTTAAAAAAGAAGTGTTTTTAAGTACAAGAATTAACTTAACTTATATTTAGGTATTTATTTAATCAAATCTTGTTTTATCATCTTTTCATAATTTATTTGTTGTAAAGCTTATAGATTTATGTATTCTGTTTTGTTGTAAGCTTATTTTAAACTATATTTAGTTTGAAAATGGTTCATGTAAATAATATTTACATAAATGTGTACCTGTTTATTTAATAATTATTTTAAGCTAAATTTTATTAAACTTTTTATTTAAAAATTGTGTTTTGTTGTAAATATATGTTTTCACCAGGCTAATACATTTTTTTTTATCATAAGTGATTCAAATTTTATTATATTTCTTTATCCTATTTTTATTATCTAAACATATTGAAAAAAAAATTAACTTAATCCAGTCCTCTGTTACCGCTGAGCAGTGTGAGGTTTCTTCTTATAAAGCCTGATCCACGAATCTCTATCCTGTGCCAGCTGTCTTCTCCTACTCCAGTCCATTCCTCTCCTGTCAAAGGCTTCTTTAACTCCTTCTTCCCATCTTTTTCTTGGTCTTCCCTGTGGCCTCCTTCCCTCCACTTTGATCTCGTAGGTAGCCCTGGCAATTCTGTTTTCAGCCATTCGCGAGATATGTCCAAACCACGTAAGTTGGTTTTCTTGGATTATCTCCTCTGCAGGCCTCAGGTCCAGATCACCTCGTATGGTCACATTCCTAACGCGATCTCTTCTTGTTTTTCCCTCTATTTTCCTTAGATAGCGCATTTCCATAGCTTGGATTTGGCTTTTGTGCTTGGCAGTGAGGGTCCAAGACTCGCTTGCATACGTCAATATAGGGAGGAAAGTATTCTTAAAGACAATTTTCTTAGTGGTCTTTGAGACTTCCTTTTTGTCCAAGAAGCCTGACTTGAGGGAGTAAAAGCATCTTCCTGCCGTCTTAATTCTCTCTTTAATTTCTCCATCCACACATCCGAACTCTTTAAGGTGAGCGCCCAGGTATTTAAAGTTCTTCCCAGGACTTTTTCTTTCCTCTCATCACGGCCTCTTTCACTTACCGTCTTTGCTCCTTGTATACGGAGTATGCCGCATCTGACTTGGTTTGTAGGTATCTCTCCCATAGGGTTTTCTTCTGTTTGATTTCCTCTTTAATTTCCTCATTCCACCAAGCAGTTTTCTTTGATTTATGACCCCAGCTTGCTTTTTCCACATGTCATCTCCGCTGCCTCCAGTATTATTATCTTGATTGCCGACCAAGATTCTTCTACGTTGTCACTGTCCCAATTGTATCTTCCACTATTCGCCTTTTCTTCAATCGAATCCTGATATGCCCATATCACCTCTGGCTCCCTGAGTTTGAAATATTTTATTTTGAACTTATTTGTCCGGTTTGACGTTCCGGGTGTGGTTGCTCGGTTATTGAGTACTATATCCATTATAAGTAGCCGATGGTCGCTCCCTATTTCGTAGCCTCTTCTGACTCTTATGTCTACTACGTGTTTTCTTTGTTCTCGTTGTATTAGGTAATAGTCGATAATTGACCTTTCGTTTCTACTTGGCTCCTCTCTTGTATATTTGTGAATCTTTTTGTGTGGGAAGAAGCTGTTTCCAACTATCATATCATTTGCAAGACAAAGGTTAAGAATTCTTTTGCCGTTGTCGTTGCAACTTTCCTCACCATCTGGTCCCAATGCGCCACCCCATTTGGTCGAGTCCTTCCCTACTCTTCCATTCAGGCCTCCCATAATTATTGGAATGCCTTTGCATAAAGCGATCTTCCGCTGTACAGAGTCGAAAAATGCTTCCTTTTCAAGACTAGTGGCATTATCATTTGGTCCGTATGCTATGAGTAGAGAGTATGAGACCCCTCCGCTACATACTTCCACTCGCATGAGTCTACCACTAATAGCCTTCCAGTTCTTTACACAGTGAGCCAAGTTTTGGTGAAATAAGCATGCCACACCGCTCTTTCCATGTTTCCCCGGATTGACTCCGGCATATAATAATATGTGGTCTTCTATCCTCTGTTCTCCTTTGCCTTTCTTCTTAGTCTCTGTTATCCCTAGGATGGCTATCCCCGCTCTTTTCTTCTCTTCGACCAATTCCACCTCTTTCCACATGGAACGTTAAAGGCTTAAATGTGAAAGAGGTGGAATTGGAAAAAAAAATTACATTATTAAATCTGATAGATAAAAAATAAACTTTATTCTCGATTAATGTTCCCTAAGAATAATAATAATGTACAAATAAAAAAAAATCATATCTGGCCAATAATTACATTCACAAAATTTCTAAAAATATATACATTAACTTCAATAACAATATTTAAACAACTAAAAATAATATATCTTCTCATGCAGGAATACTATTGTAATGAAAAAAAGAAGAAAAATAGAAAAAAAGGAAAAGCAAAATTAAGAACTACTAAGACTGTGCCAACTGGAGAACTTTAAAGTTACTTCTTACAGTTTTCAAAATAGTTTTCTTGATAGGAGTGCTGAATGCCCCATTTGCAATACACGTAAACCAGAAGATTTATACTTTTTTTTTTTCAATGTCCTACATATGAAGCTTTTAGAAGTAAGTACTTAAATACATATATTGATGGCATTTCTGACGATAAAGAACAAATGGTAAAATTATTACATATAGAAAACAAATATGAACTCGATGATTTATACTGGTATGTCAAAGATTGTTTAAAATTAAGTAATCTTTTTATGTTTATACAAGAATGAATAGTTTTATCATTAAGTTTAAGGTTAAGATTATATGTAAATAATAATATTAGGACTTAACATTATATTTTAGTTTATTCAAGATAGTTTGTATAGTTTATAATTGTATCAAACATAATTGTTTTATTTTACTGATTCTTACTATTAATGTGTTTAATTTGATTTCATGTATATAAACTTAACTCCATTTGTATGGGTTGGCCCCAAAACAAATAAAATTCATTTATTTATGCTATTATTCTTAAACACTGTATTTAAATAACAATTTGAAAATAAATGATTTACTTTTTTTTTCTTTTTCTATTGGCATTACAGACCATGTGGATCTTTTGCCACTATAAAAAATCTGCTCCATCTCTACCTATCTTGGGCTATTTCTTTCCATTTCTTCCATCTGCACACAGCAATAATGTATCTTTGTTGATTCTATCTATCCATCTGCTTTTTGGCCTTTCATGTGATCTTTTGCCTTCTATTGAGGCATTCATTGTAATGTAGAAGCTTCCAGATGGATTGCTATGAGCTACATGCCCCACCCATCTTAACCTCCGTGGTTTCAGATCATGGGATATTGATTGGCTTGTTTCAGTAAAATGGTTAATAATAATATCATCTGGAGAGTGTCACTACCACTCCAATTATAATATCCTCCAATGGACTGATGCGAAAATCAACAATGGTAGGCACGATGGATCATCTTTGCTGAAAGAGGCTCAACACTCAGTTCTCTTAGACACAGCACGTTTTCCGTTCCGTACCCCAAGCAGGGTTCTTGCATCATAGGTCAAGCTGTTCAACCATCTAGTCCTAGTCCTTCCTACCCGTCTTGCGAGGTGCAGCTTCTCAATCATTACTTTCTTGGTTATTTCAAAGGCGCTCATTCTGGCCGCATGCCCTGCCCACCTTAGTCTGGCAAGTTTAATATAGGTGACTATGTCGATGTCTGTATGAAGAGAACTGAGCTCCCTATTTTTTCTTTTCCTCCAGACATCACCTTCCTTTATGGTACCCTGGAAATCCTCCTGGGGACTCCTCGCTCGAATACAGTTTTTAAAATAATAGCATAAATAATAAAAATAAATGATTTTTATTTGTTTTTGGGCCGATCCATATAAATGGAGTTGAGTTTATTTTAGATAATATTCACCGTTAGTGAAGCTAATAATTTTTCTAAGGTTTTGATTGAATTTTGAGTTCAATATAGATTGAGTGTCGAGGGAAAATTTATTGCATTTTAATTTTTCAATAGCATTTTACATTCCTCTTCAAATAATTCTTTATTTTAAATGTTTTATAATTCAACCAAGTCTTTGCTCTCAGCATATTTATCAATTGTAGGTACCAATTTTATTTTGTGTTAATTAAATAATCAGAGGAATGTTTTTTAAAGTTTGTGAACGTACTTTTGGTAACCAGTTGTCTTCCATTTGGTCTATGGTACCAGCGAATCATTCTTTTAAGAATGCTTATTTTTAATGATTCTATACCTGTTTCTGCGTGTATATAATGATTAGGAATATTGCATTGCCAATGATAAATTGCTTTAAAATAACTCACAGCAACACGCTCTGATTTTTGACTGTATAATGGAGCCCAAACTTCCGCTGAATATAAAAGAACATAATTCACCATAGAATTTAACAATTTAAATTTCGTATTGAGAAAATCTGATCTTGACAAAATAATAATAACATATAAAACAACATTTAAAAAATAAGTAATAACAATAATGAATTTTTTTAAAAGAGATTTTAGAAAGGGATTAAAAATAAAATTCAGTTAGAACAGTTACCAAATCCCCATAATTAAAGAACAATTAGTACATAATTAATAAAGTGTCAAAAAAACAATGTAAACATTTAAAAAATATTTTTTTATTCGATTAGTTGTACATTGATCTAATTTTAATTTCTCAAACCTATTTTTTTTGATCAAATTTCTGCATAATCTTTTGTGAATAAATTTTTGATTTTACAAAACCATCTCTTGTTTGTGGACTACAAACACTTAGTAATGAGTTAGTCATTAATTTAATTTTTACTATGTTTTTTGACACCAATTATTAATTATGACTAATTTTTCTTTGATTATGAATATTTAGTAACCATTATTAGTGAAATTTTATTTGTAATCCCTTTTAGCCCTGGAGCCAGGACCAAAAAACGGACCTCATCGCAGGCGAAGGTTTGAATGTAAATTATGAAAAGTATAACATTTTAATTAAAATGAGCTTTGTCTGCCATTCCAAAACCGCTGCTTTCAAAAATGGCGGCCTTCAAAGAGGTCCAAATTTGCCGAAAATGAACCTCATCGCAGGCTAGATGAAACTTTCATAGATAAATCTTTTTACAATGAAGCGTCATTTTTGAGCAGTCTGGCGTTTCTGTGCCGCTGCTTTCCATTGGCAGACTTAATTTTAAAAATTGCAACTTTAGGTTAATAAATTTACCAATCTTAGGAGCCTTGAAATTATAACTACAATGAATGTGTGTAATAAAATGAAGAAAGAACTTTGTCTGCCTTCTTTATGCCGCGGCAATCTACTGGCAGACTCTAATTAAAAAATTGCAATTTTTGATGAAAAAATTGACTATAATTAGGAGATTTGAAACTTTACTATATGATACTTGTATATTAACAGTTCGTAGTCTGCCTATGTTAGGCCGCGGAAATCTATTGGCAGACTCAAATTCAAAAATTGCAATTTTTGATGAAAAAATTGACTATAATTAGGAGGCTTGAAATTTTGCTATATGATACTGATAAATTAGATATTAAATAAAAATGCAGTCTGCCATCAAAATACCGCTGTTTTGTTGTGACAGACTGAACTTGAATATCAGAGGCTATAGCGAAAAAAGATGGAAGTGTCACGTGATCGCTTAAAATGAATCACTTATTATTCGGTTGTTAGATCTTCAACCTATGAAGATCTAACAATTGTTTTTTAATATAAATCCATAATATAAAATCAAAGATTTTTAAAACATGTGATGTGAAAATAGTAGATAACAGAATGAAATGTCTCATGAATACAGCCGAGCATTACTCAGATTTGAAGTAAAAATTATATAACAAATGGCACGACTACTAGCGAAAAGGAAAACGAAACAAAACCCTGTACACATTATTGGAACAATAGTACATTTATTTATTGAGTTCATCACCACGATGAACGTTCTAAGAAAAGTTCGGTTTTTAATATCTTTGGCTAAAACTCATAAGATTAAGTAAATTATTAGTAAAGTAAAATATTAAAATCAGTTTGAACCCATTTATTAAATAAAAAAAAAGTTCCTAAGAAACAAATAGATAGATAGATAGATGGATAGATAGAAAGTAAACTTTATTCTGGGACAAAGTCCCTTATGAATAACAGATATGAACAAAAAAATAAAAACTACATCTGGCCAAAAATTACATTAATCAATATTAAAGAATATATACAGTATCTTCAGTGAAGTTAAATTAAAACAAGTAAAAATAAAATAAAATTTTGAGAAAAAACGAAATAAAAAAAACATTATTTAAATGAAAAAAAATAAAATAAAATAAGCATGGGTTGATTTTTAAAATTAAGACTCAATAAATTTTATCAACCATTCACCTCAGTCAAAATCTGTTTCACAATATTTATTTTATTGTATAACGTCATTTTGGGATGTGAGAAGGAATTGGTAGAGATGATATTTAAATGAGGACAAGGAGGAGGCATGGCGGATTTCAGATGGCAAGGAATTCCAGAAGGCTGTGGATCGGGAAATAAAGGAATATTCAAACGTCTTAGTTCTATGGGAAGGGATATAAAGGTCGGAAACACGGGATCTTGTTTTCTGGGAGTGGACCACGGGTTTAAACTGTAGGAGACTGTAGATGTAAGAAGGGTGTCTGGTGTTGATTGTTTGGAATAGGAAAGATCCGAGGAAATATTGTCTGCGGAAAGAAGGGAAGAGCCACTTTAACTCGTCGTAAAGGTGGGACACATGAGATCGCCTTGATGTACCGAAGACAAATCTTAAGCACGTATTCATGAGTCGCTTCAATCTATCCTCGAGTACCATCGGGATGCCTCCGTACACCACACAGCCGTAGTCAAAGTGGGGGAAAATGAGAGAGGATACAAGGAGCTTGCGGATGGGTTGTGGGAGTAGGTGGCGGGAGCGATGAAATAGCTTAAGGGTACCTATTGACTTACGGGAGATGAGAGCGATATGGGGTTTCCAGGAGAGGTTTTCGTCTATGGTGATTCCTAGGTTTTTAACGGATGAACTGAATGTGACAGGATGATCGTTGATGACTAAAGGAGGAAGGAGGGAGATGGATTTAAGAACAGGACTGGAACCTATAATAATGGCCTGAGTTTTCATCGCATTTAGATTTAAATTATTCAGACTTGCCCAGGCACTGATCCTATCTAGGTCTGCCTGAATATTGGCGAACGCGACTAGTAGCTCAGAAGGATGAAAGGAATAATATATTTGGGTGTCATCAGCGTATAAATGATGTGAACAGTGGTAGATGGATTTGGAAAGATCATTTATGTAGGATCTTTCCAAATCCTACATTCAAATATATGAAGTATTGAAGATAACGTGGGAAATACGCATACTACCTGGTGCAACAGGTTTGCTCCACATATGTTTTCACTTGATCAGCAGTTTCGTCTAATAAAAGACCGCCAAACATCTTTGCCGAGTTGTAAATATAACATATATTTACAGACAAGACTACAAAGGAAATGGAAAAACCCCTTGAGGCACTACGAAGAGAGGGGAAGTCCAGAGCACTGCCCTAAAAGGAAATAAGCTATTAGAAAAATTGTCTGTGAAAAAATTTTGGGGGAGAGAGAAAGCCATTTTAGGGTGCAACTGGAAAATATTCAGTTTTAGGAAGGCGTTTGAAAGAGTGAGTACTGTGGGGAAATTTGCAGAGGGTAGTTTTTCGAGGTAGTGAAAGAGTTTTGGTAATCTTGAAACAATGTGTGATGAAGGTTGGAGATTCTAGACCTGGGAGGCGGTAAAGAATTGGAGTCTGGTATTGAGAAACGGAAAATATTCCGCGGAGAGTAGCGTGAAGGAACGTGAAGAGTAGCAGTCTGAGAGGTATGTCACTATTTATCAACCAATCATTCACTTGCTAGTAAGTCATAGTTACAATATTTATTTCTTAATGAAATAGAAAAACTATTTTTCTTAAATGTTGTGTTAATTTGATTTGTTTTACTCAACTGATTAATATTCTCTTAAGTATTTCCAACACCATTGGTTGACTTTTTCTTATAATAATTTCTTTATATTCTTATAATAAGCATCCTTTTCCCCGCAACTTTTTGGTTTCAATTCAATCATGATGAGAGGTCTCCATTCAGACTAATCTCTATAAAAGCGATTTTTAGCCATTATCATTAATATCTTAAAGTGAATAGTGATACAAAATAAAATAATATCTACATTTCACTGTTTTTTTTTTTTTTTGTGTGTGTTTTTGGAATATGAATTCATACAAATTATTTTTTTATTCTGATCCTCTATTTTAGTTATATGGATAACCAATCTACATAAGTATATTATCTTTATTATTATTAACACCGCAATTAATGTGTTAATTTTCATATTTGATAAAAAAAAAGAAACATTCATTATCCCAGTTAAATTGGATATATATTTTAATTTGTATTTTTTATTCACATTTACATGGCTCAGCTGTATTACAAACTTTTATTATTCATTTTTATATCGTCGGTTTATTGCAAAAAGTCATTAATGACATTGCATAACCTCATAGGATTAAGATCTTTGATGGATTTTATATTTGTGAAATAAGAAAATTGTACACTGAAAATATATGTTCACAAAAGCATATTTGAAAATTGACCTATATAAAAAATGCTCTCAGTGACGATTTGCAATAAACCGACGATATCATCATTATTTATGATTTTAAAATATTCAATGATTGAATTCTTTTTTATTTGGTATTATTCTTATAAAGGGTGTCCGGTTGTCCCTAAAGTAGAGGAAAATAATAAAGTAGAGGTGATAGCAGACCTCATGAGCTACAAAAGTTACGTTTCCGTAGAAAAGTAGGAAATGCCGGTTATCAACTCTTTTTTTCAAATATAACTAACTAGTCATAGGAAGCTATAAAAAAAATTAAGTAATTTACAATGGTTTCACTGTAAACTAAACTAAATTTACTTGAAAATAAGGTAGTGTTAGTCATTGGCAAAACCATTTAAAGAGGATTTTTGACCAGACAAACTCAGCAAAGTTAAGTTATTTTTTTTTTAAATTATGAATTATTTGAGATTTTTTTTACCACCCTCCAACTATACTACAGATAACTCATTTTTAGAAGAAATATTCTTGTTTAAATAGCTGTAAATCCATAATAATTAAGATTCATCTCAAATTGTGTTAATAAATGATGTGGTTTGATATCCTGTCACCTAAAATATCTGTATTTTCAGCGAAAATGTCTAGAATTAATTATTGAAAAGTTTTATTAAAATGATAGTTAGGAGTGATATCTCGGAAACTAAGTGAAGTAGCGAAAAAGGTATAGGATCAATCATATTGCAAATTTTATCAGC